TGTTCCTCTACTTGCAATCCAGTATCATGTTGAAGCACACCCTGGGAGGCAGGAGATGGCTTAAATGCCAGGGTCTCTGTCAACCATGCAGAAGACCCAGACTTCCAGGCTCCTGCCTTTGGTGTGGCACAGCTCTGGCTGGTGTGGCCATTTGGGGAGTGAATAATCAGATAAAAGAGCTCTTGCTCTCTCAGCAAGGTCTAGAGCCCAAGTCTCCCATCAGAGGAGTCAAGTCTCCCTAGAATCTTGCAGATTCAGGTCCAAGGTAGGACCCAACTTTCTAATAGGTCTTAGATAATGTGATGCTATTATGGTTTGAATCCCAAGGGTCCGTGTGTAAAAGTCTTGTTCCCCAGGGTGACGGTGCTGGGAGGTGCTGTGGAACTTGCAAGGAGTGGGATCTGATGGGAAGTCCTTTGGTCATTCAGGCATAGGTAAGAGGGGATTGAGGTATTTTTTCCATTGACCTCTTGGTGGTTCTTCTAAGAGAGTTATTATGAAAGGAGCAGGCTGGACCCTCCTCCTCTCTCTGCCTCACTGCCTCACTGTATAATCTTTCCCCCCAGACATGTTCCTGCCATCCACCAAGCATACATTATGCTGTTTGGGTTTTGAATCTCCAAAACCGTGAGTTAAAGAAACCTCTTTTCTTCATCAGTTGCCTGTCTGGGGTATTTCAGCGCAGTGGTGAATAGCTAATTAATACAGATGCTGTTGATCACAGACCTCACTTTGAGTTCCAAGGGCCTGGAGAATATGAAGGCACTTCAAAAAGTTTGTGGAAAAGAAGAATCAAGATATTTATTTTGGTGTATGTAGATCTTTTCATAATTTGCATTTTCATGAATATTTGAAATTATCTTGTATTTGATAGGGACCTGTTCAAACCATCTAAGCAGGTTTGTGGTGAACCCTCCACAGAGGTTAATACCTCTGTGATAGCCAACTCTTTTGCAGTGGGATACACACAGATTCCAGGTTAGGCTTTTTTCCAATCAAATACACACTTCCTGTTGCCTGTAAAATCACAACTGTCAACCCCCTCTTGCCATACAACTTGCATTGTTGTGTTCTGGATTGCCCAGATAGAAAGAACCAGCAAGACTCACCGAAATGCAAAGAACAAAGGGACTTTATTTGTAGGTCCAGCATGCCGGGGCCCCAGCCTCCCATGCAACACAGTGCTGGGAGACCAAGACCCCTTTCTCTTTGTTCTTGGGGTTTTTGTAGTTCCCAGGCAAACAAGTATTAGGTCCGCATTCCTTCCTTCCCCTGGCCCTGCAGAACTAAGGACGGCCCACCTTATTGGTTGCCTCCACCTAGTCCTGCGGACCTGACCAAGGACTGCCCGGTGTCAGGTGTCATCTTCTCACACCAGGCACATCCTGGGCCTAGTCAGTTTTTTTGTCTTGTGAGAAGTCTGTCATGGCGTGGCTCTGGCCTCTCACAGCATAACTCCTTTTTTAAAAAAAATTATTTTTATTTATTTGGAAGACACAGTTACAGAGAAAGAGAGAGAAGTTGATCTTCCATCTGTTAGTTCACTCCCCGATAGCCACAATGGCCAGGGCTGGGACAGGCTGAAGCCTGAGCTTCTTCCACGTCTCTCACATGGGTGCAGGGGCCTAGGGACTTGGGCCATCCTCTGCTGCTTTCCCACGCATATTAGCAGGGAGCTGGATCAGAAATGGAGCAGCTGGAACATGAACTGATGCCCATATGGGATCCTGGCATCGTAGGCAGTGGCTTTACCGGCTACACCACAACGCCAGACCTGAAAACGCCCTTATTATAATCTGCAATGTGCACTCCTGTTTGTAATTCAGAGAGGGTTTTGGTTCTCTGTAATCTCAGTTATATGCCTTCCCCTTTGCCATTACTTAGTTTATGTTTCTTAATCTTAGGCAAAAAATTTCAAGTCCTTCCCTCCAACAATACTGGGTTTTAAAGCCCACCCTATAAAGAACTGACGCAGGTAGTCGTCATATTTCCCCTCCTCGTGGGAGTCTTGAGGGGTCAGGCCACAGGCATCTGCCTATTCTCTGAAGACTTCTGCAGTTTCCACCCTAACCAGGTGGCTGTCCAGCTATTGTTAAAAAATCTGTTTCCTTCCTTCACTCTTTGCATTCTTGTGCCTATTGTGTAAAATAATGGTCTTCTCTTCATATTTTTCTGAAGCCATGCAATTTCTTCTCTAAGAAAGCTTAAGCAAAATGAAGCTGGTTTGGATGAAAGCAGTGAGAGATGAAATTAAGACAACCAGGAACACACCTTGTGAGTTCAGGTGTTTAAGTGTTACTGTAAACGCTAGGGAGAGAGAGTGAAAGATTTCAAGTAAAGGAAGACCAGACCAGACTTGCCCATCTTGTATTGTTGCCTCTCACAGGGTGAGAAGAGTAACTGAAAGGCCAGAGGGCTTCAATGGTCAGAGGGCAAGAGGAATATATGGAATATTAAAGCATCAGATATGCCTACTAAGTTTCAAACTTGGGTAATTACTGAGTTGGAAAAGATAGGAAGAGAAATAAATTCAGGAGAAAACTATTTAAAGGACTTGTGGCACTTTTCCCCTCCTCCCGTTCTTCCTCCTTCCCCTTCCCACAATCCTCCCTTTTGTGGAGATCCTTGGTAACTAACCAGACCCTTTTCAACTCCTTGCAATGCAAATGGAAAAACAGATAAGCTGCACAGGACAGCTATGAAACAGGTAAGAGGGAAGTTCCTAGAGACTCAAACAGCCCCCTACTCTTCAACCAGCTGCCTTCTACACCCCGCGCCCACCCCCCGGCCCCAATTCCCTCTTAACCAGATAAAACTTGAGTCCCAAATGTGCCCAGTGTGCAGTCTCTTCGCAAGAACAGACTGTTGCCAACCTCTTCACTTCTAATAAAGCAACCTGTCTCTGTTGAGGTCCATCTCTGTCTCATTTTTCTGTCTCTCCTTTCTGGAGGTATGAAAGACCAGAACCCTGAGCTATTCCAGACCTAATATTAGCGAGCTCAGCTTTCAGCACAAAGAGTTTGAGTAAATGGATGTGGATTCAGCAGAATCTGGTCTACAGACCTCTTTTACATCTAGGGCTATGTTATTGGCAGAACATTCCCAGCCTCCTTTTAGGCAACTGCTCCAAGTTCTCACTAAACAGTCTTGCTCAGATGTCTTCTCTACAAAATCTTGCTTTCTTTCAACATGGCAAAGGATTGGTTGCCTGCTACATGTGCTACTTCAGTAATTATTTCTCTCTGCTTTCCAAAGTGCTTTTGTGTATCTAAGCTTGGGGCTTTATTTAGGGTTCTCAGTATGAGCCACATGCTTAAAAATGGCTTCTTTTTCCCTTTGGAATTAAGGATAAATTCCATTTAGCATCTGAGCTCAAGAGAAGATTTAAAGCCTGTAGCTATGAGGAAATAGGCGTTAATGGAAAAATCACAGGCATACTCTGCGGAAGGTAAAATGAACTCGTCTGGGATGCGAGATGGTAAGAAAAGAGGGGATATGTGTAATACATTGGCTATATTGTGCTTTGTTCTGAAGGTTAAGTTTTAATGTGGTGCTTTTCAAACTTGAGATTTATTCTCCAGGCACCACCTGGAAGGATGGAGGGCTGAGGATGAGCAGTTCAGACTTGAGCTCCATCATCCTGCTTCAACTGGAATAGTTTGTTTTACATAAGCGTTCATTGTAGAAAGAATTCATAGTCTTATTTTTTGAGAATTATTTCAAATGTGAAAAGCACTAGGCAATAGAAGCTGTAAGATATGAAGACATCAGAGAAGGAAGGAATGCTGTCTAACAGTGTATAACTGCTGAAGGTTCCAGAGCCATCCCGTGCTATGCACTCAACAGGACATAGTGGTTCATGTTACTGTTGGCTTAGTTTTGTTCCCTCCTTTTAGCTCCTTAAAAGCCAGGCACAGTATTGAGTTTTACAGGTTCGCTGTTTAGCACAGTAAGGGCTTAATAATTGTTGAATTAATAGAGTAAAAGGTTTAAACTCAGACCAATGCAGGTAAAATTCTTTCCTAGTGTACCCCTGAGATTATGCATTTTAAAGGAATTTAGATAAACACCTGTGATTAAGGAAGACAGGAGAAAAGAAAAATGTAGTATTTTAAGTTTTTGTGTATGTGTTTGAAGAAAAGTAAGGTAGAGAGAATAAAGTGCGTCTTAAACAAGAGAATAACTCTCATCTAAAGTGTCATGAATGAGGCGACCAATACAATTCATAACTAATGTACTATATAATCTGTCTCTGGATCTACCGGTTGGAGACTTGGTAATTGGATTCAAATCTGATTTGAATCTCATTCAAATCCTTTGGATAATGAAACAATAACCCTTATGTTGATTGGCATAACTAGTGACTAGATTAGCAAAAGTTGTCCCTAGCTGGTATGGCTAAGTGCATTAAAGAAAACTGTGTCACTCCACAGCGAGTGGGAAAATACGAGTTTTCCTAACGCTTTCAAAATTGCATAGGCTAACGTGTTTCGTTTTTTTGGTACACAAATCTATTTTTACCAAAAAAAAAAAAAAAAAATTAAATAAAACATGTTAAAGCAAACAAAAACCCTGCTTTGAAATAAAACGCGAGTCTGGGACGCTGGACTGCCGCTAAGTCCCTTTCAGGGACGTGGCTGTAAACATGATTTCACTAACATCTCCTGGGGGTTCCTCCGGTGCTGACGTCGCAGTGGGGGGGGAGCAGAGTGTCCCCCGGCCCAAAGAGTTTCCAGATGACAGAACCAAGAAGACCTCCGAAAGATCCTGGGGCAGCCGGGCTTCCCCCATGCCCCTGCCATGCCGGAGAAGAAAGGCTGGCGCGAGACCTGGCTGCAGGACGCCACGCGAAGTCCCGGAACCCAGCGCCCCCGATACCCACCGGCCCGCAACCCGGAAGCAGATGCGTACTGCGCAGCGCGGCAGCGTTGCGGTTCCGGGTCGTGCCGCGCTGCAGCCTGCGTTTCTCTTGCCGCAGTGCCACACCCTCGCTCTCCGGACCTGGGCTGGCGGTGGCTGCAGGGCAGCTCCTGGTGCCCAAATGGCTGAGGGGGACGCAGGGAGCGACCAGAGGCAGGTGAGGCCCCGGCGGGGCGCTGTCCCTCCAGGCTCAGCTCGGCCTCGCCTCATCGTCCCGGGTCTCCTGTGCCCGGGGCTGCGTCGTTGGCTCCATCGCGGTCCATTCCATCCTCCCCACCCCCAAAGGCGCTTTCGTTCGGCCGAGGGCTCGGTCTGGCAGTGCCTCTGTGGCTTCGAGCCACGACCGTGTCCTCTCGCACCGTTGGCACGCGACTGAGCAGCAGTGGGCTGTAGGCAGAGACCCAGGTTCCGCGCCTGGTCCTGTCGCCGCTGAGTCACCTTGGACAAGGCACTTAAGAACCCTGATTTCCGCCTTTGCAAACGTGGGCAATAACACAGACCCTGGAGTTCCCTGACATCCCCCCGAATCATCTATTCCTCTCGGTTTGAGTCTTCCCTTCTGTGCCTGGGTAACGTGGCAGCTCGCAGGGTTTTCCCACAGGGCTGCGAGGACAAAATGAGATGATGTAACGTGAACAGTGCATACTCTGCTTCCCATTTTCCACTCTTAGATTTTCTGTTTTAACCCCAAAGCAAAAAAATAATTTTTGCTGAAATATTTTGATTACCAAAAAGACAAAACAGTCACCGAGCCCTGTGCCCGAATGTAAAAGCAAAAACCTGAAGACCGAAATACTAAGAGACCAGGGATGCTCAGCGGGAGTACAGGGATAATATGCAGCCGCGGGAATGGGATGGGGGTGGAGGAGGGATGGGGATTTCTTGACGACAGAGAAGATGGAAGATGTGTTCTGTATTTTCACGTGTGGCTTAGCTACAGGCTATAGAAGTGTGTGTGTATTTTTGCTCGGTGGTGGTCGTCAGTGATGGGGTAGCAAGATGGGTTCCGATCACTCAGTCGTGCCTGGCAGCTACCCAGATGTGGAACATGGTGGACTCTGCTGCTGCTAAGAGTGCTTGGACTGCACTCTGGATCTCGAGCTTATCCAAAAGCCCTCATGCAGGCTAATGGTGTTGAATGTAAATGCCTTGTAAAACAGTAAGAATAGCTTCTTAAAAAATATGCACGTTTGTTGATTTTCTTAAAAAAATCCATTTCTTTCAGAATGAGGAAATTGAAGCAATGGCAGCCATTTATGGGGAGGAATGGTGTGTCATTGATGACTGTGCCAAAATATTTTGTATTAGGATTAGCGACGATATAGATGACCCCAAATGGACCCTTTGCTTGCAGGTATATATATATTTTCCCCTTCTCTACAGCTGTTTTCCGATTACCGTATTGACTGTATGACAATGATTGTATTCAAAGGATTATTTTTGTATGTTGTGTTCCAAATTGTCTTTGCTGGCTTTTGTCACAGTTGATTATCTAATTGATTATCTAATAATCAGTGGGTAGTTCAATCTTTGATCACTCTGAAGTGATGCTTGGATAGTTTCAATCGTTTTTATACCAATTCTTTTAATTATTGAAAGTTTTAATGTGCCATTGTCAGGCTTGAGCTTCATTTCATTGTCCTAAGGCTGGAAAGATGGGTAACGTTTAACAGGAAGAATGGGTTAGTAGTACACATAATTCATAGAGTACTAGATAAAATAAGTGAAAAAGATGAGCTAATGCTTTCTGTCTTAGTGTTTAGTCTTTGCCTGCCTATACTTTTGACATAAAAGATGCTACATTAAGTTTGTGTCAGTATTTGTTTTTACAGCATGGTTTTTAAAAGAAATGTATATGGTTCTTTATTATTTGCTAGCTATTTCATTTACAGCATTCTGTGGCATTTCATAGGTTTTTAATATTCTTGAAAATATTATAATGCAGTCCTATCCATTTGGGTTTGGGGTAGAATGTCCTTATTTCGGATTAGATTTTCCTTTGTGTTCTCTAATTTGTTCTTTGGATGCTTTTATATTTTCTCTGTAAATAAAGAGCTCCTATAGAAATTGGCAACATGGGAAACAAGAAGTTTAGCATATAAGCACAGGTAGGAGGGGATCCCCTCCTGAGGCAGAACAAAAACTGTGGTTTGTTTTTTGGTTTGGTGAGTGAGTCATTTATCCAGTGACTAATCTTATAAATACAGTTATGTTTGTACCATGATTAAGTTTAAATTGATTTGTTTTTAAACTTCATTTTAGGTGATGCTACCAAATGAATACCCAGGTACAGCTCCACCTATTTACCAACTGAAGTAAGCTATATTTCTATACTTATATTTGTACAAAAGATTTATATTTTTAAAGATTGTTCTCCGTATTGCACATTGTGTTTATATAAAATACCTCTGATGTTGAAGTGTATATAGAAAACACCTCTCAATTTGGGATGAAGTATTTAAATAAAATATTATATAAAAACACATTGAAATGTGCCATTGGGATAAGAGAGAATCTCTGGGTTCATAGGGTGAAATAGCTATAGAATGGTCTTTGGACTTGGGAAGGAAACCTTCCCCTGTATTGAACGTAGTAATCTAGAAACCCAGGCCCAGAGAGTTTGTCCTAGCTGTCTGCTCACAGTTCCTCGATGTACCTCTGCCTAAGACCACCTGCTTTCCAGCAGTTATCATGGTGCTTCTGGAGTTTCTTCCTACCCTCTTCCCCCTTGTGCCTGAAGAATCATCTTCTTGGCAGCCCAGGCTTAATCTTTATGAGTCATGACCTGTCCATACAAGTCACCTTTGATCTACCTTATCCCTATGACCTAATAGTGTGCATAAACCCCTGGGAACAGAATTACATAAAAATAGTTTTTATGGACTAGTGGAATTATGTTTGTATGTGAGTATTTCACAACTAAAGCAGTAAAGCTTATTAATAATAATTTCTATAATTGTAAGTTTTTATGTATTGCAAATGATAGATACAGAATGCTTCTAAATGTAAATGTCCTTTTCAAGAAATGATTTTTGTTTTTTATAATCCTGTGACAACTAGCTTATTTGTTAAGTGTTTCTGAAGCACCAGTTAGAAAAAACTAGGAATTCCTGGTATTCTGGTAAATATTGTGAATCTGAAAATTTAGAATCTGGAACCTGTTCTGCCATTTATATAAATTTGGTTTATGATACTCAATAAACCCATTCCCAGTTTTTAAACCATTAAAATTGAATAATATTGGTGTTGGTTTTATCATTTTTGGGGGGAAAGAATAAATGAGTTAATGCTAACAAAAGTGTTTTGGAACTCTATAGATTTATGCAAATGACAGGTAACATTTTAATGAAAACATACTTTTTCAGTGTTAAATAAAATCAATTTGTGGGGCTGGCATTGTGATGCAGTGAGTTAAGCTGCTGCCTGTGATGTTGGCCTCTGATATGAGCACCAGTTCCGTTATCAGCTGCTCTGCTTCCAATCCACCACCCTGCTAGTGCGCCTGGTAAAGCAGCAGCAGATGAAATGTGGGAGACCTGGATGAAGCTCTTGCCTTTGGCCTGGCCCAGACCCAGCCATTGTGGCCATTGGAGGAATGAACCAGCGGATAGAAGATTGGTTTTTTCTCTCTCTCTAATTCTGCCTTTCAAATAAAAAACTTAAAAAAATTGTGACTTAATCAGTGGTGTCTGTTTGATATATAATTGCAGTCTTCAAATAATCTTTTTTATTGTGTTTTATTTAACCTCAGTGCTCCTTGGCTTAAAGGGCAAGAACGTGCAGACTTATCGAACAGCCTTGAGGAAATATATATGTAAGTGCCAAGTGAAAAAGTTCTGTTAGTGACAATATTGTGTGCTTTTGTTGAAACTGTGGTATGTTAGAACCTTCTCTTTTTGTTAAGCTGCATTGCTGTTAACAAAAAATAAATTCACTTGCAGAGATCCTGAAAGGTTAATTAAATGATTTGGATCCAGAAATATCGTAATATTTAGAATCAGTAGCTATAAGAACAGTTAGCCAGCTTGTGAAAGTAAATCCAGAGATAGTATCCTTTTGACACTCTGAAAAGCTATGTGGAATGAAATTGAAATGGGAGAATGCTATGCATAAATATTTCTTAAACTCCTAAGTAGTTTGAATGGCAATTTCACATACTACTCCCAAGAATGAGAGTCTAATGACACACTGTATCTCATTCCTTTCTTGTTTCATTCATTTTCATTCAACAGAAGGCAGACGTTGCAGTGGATCCTGTATACACATGGTCAGCAAAAACAGAAATGGTCCTTTTTTTCCTGACATCTAGAATTTAGTGTGGGGAGAGATGCTCCTTTTGACTTCATAAAAATGAATATAAGACTGCAGCTGTGATAAGTCCTGTAACTGCTCTGCAGTGCTAATTTCATCAGAGACAAGACATGCCCTGGTCTGGGAGGGCCGGGATGACTTGTTTGACTTAAGATCCGAGGCGAGCAGGTGAGGACAGCTGCACTGAGCGGCCAGGGTGTGCAGAGGCTCTGCGTCAGGGAGCTTAGCACCTTTCAGAACACATCAGGTGGGAGGATGACCTGGTGATGTAGGCACGAGATGTCCTGGGGAGCTTTGCATGCTGGGTGAAGGATTTTTTTTTTTACTTTTTAAAATTTATTTGAGAGGCAGTGAGACAGAGGGAGCTTCCATCTACTGGTTTCTTTCCCAGATTGCCCAAATGCCTGCAGTAGTCCCTGGCTTGGGTGGAAACCGGGAGCCAGGAATACAATCCAGATTTCCCATGTCGGTGACAGAAGCCCAATTGCTTGAGCCATTATCACTGTCTCCCAGGGTCTGCGTTGGCGGGAAACTGGAATCAGGAGCCAGAGAGGGCTTTTGAACCTACCACACTCGGACATGGGATGTGGGCATCTTAACTGCCAGGCCAGACACGTTACCCTGTTAAGAATTGTTATCTTTATCTTAAGAACAGTGGGAAGCACAGAAGGGTTATGTAAGTAGTGGGGCACCATGGTAAGATTTTTGAGAAGATGTTATTTCCATTTGAAGAACTGAAGGGAAGGTAGCAAAAATATATGTGGGACAGCAGTCAGAACTGGAGCTAATGCAGTTCAGAGAAGATATGACTGGTTTGGGCTTATTTTAATGAGATAATATTTAGTAAAACCTAATATTTTAGAATACTTTTAATTTTTTTCTAATTTAGGCATTAGTAAAGGTTGTATTATATGTTCTAGGTGGCCACCCCATTTGGTACAGTGAGAGTTTCCCCTTTGTGTCCCTGGAATCCTGGCCAGGTTTCTTTTCCTCCCAAAATATTTAATTAGGAAATGGTAAGTCATTGTGAAGTCTGTTCTTGTTCCTACTTAGGGGAAGTATGGTTCTCCTTGGGTCCCCATTAAGTGATTCTGTCTTCCTTAGCATTCAACTATTATTTATTTCCTCCACTAAATGTTTTTGGTATCTGTCCCTAACCTTTCCCACTTGTCCCGCTTTTGAGCTCCAAAGAAACCTCTTCCTGTAATCTGTTGTTTACTCTTGTTTGGCAGCTTATCCTGTTCCTTAGAATAGAATAACAGAAGTGTGCTGTTCACTGTTGCTCAGTGGAACTGTCACTATACATCTGATGATCATTTTCTAGCTCTTATCTTGACCTCTAATATGGTGATACTGACTGCTTCCTTTTTTCTTGAAAGCGTGACCACGCTTGATTTCCATCATGTTAATCATATTCATTAGGCAGATTTTTCTTCTACTCATGCATGATGTGATAGCTTCTGAAATACCTCCCCACCTACCTGTTTCCAATCAAAAAAATCCTCTGTTTACTACCTTCCCACAGGACATAGCTTGTTTCTTCTCCATAACTAATTCAGTTGAGTTATTTGGGATTTTGGGAAGGGTCAGAAATTAAAAAGCAACTTGTTCAAAATATGAGATATGGGTCATATTATTTATTAAAAGTGCTTGAATAACCCTAGTCCAGTGATATTTTTCCACACATGTGACTTAAATAGAATTACACATTCTCAAAAGTTGTGTGTGACAACTTATAATCATATTTTTAATATAATTCCAGCAGGGGGCAGCAAATGAAAATTAGCCTTCAAAAATTAAAACATGTTGTAGATGTACTAATGTAGGTCTTAATGTTTATAGTTTTAGTATGATTACAAATATTATAACACTATTGAGGTTTATATATTTACCATTATTTTGAATTCTCGGTTTGATTTTTGTCTAGATAAGAAGCTGAACTATGACTAGTAACCACTGAGATAGGGAAATAAGTCAGAAAACTAACAGTTTTTCCAGTAAATATTTATTGAGAATATATTGCTTGCTGGCATTCTGTTAGGAGTTGGAGATTTTAAAATTAAGATTTAGGATGAGCATTTAGCCCAGCTTTTAAGATACCCACAAACCATATCAGAGTGCCTGGGTTTTACCTGGCTCTGGCTCTGGCCTCTAGCTCCCTGTTAATGCAGACCCTCAGAGGCAGTGGTGATGGCTCAACTACTTGAGTCCCTGCCATCCACGTGAGAGACCTGGATTGGGTTCCTGGCTCTTGGTTTTTGCCTGACCCAGCCCCAACCATAGTGAGCAACAGGGGAGTACAATGGATGGGAGATCTCTCTCCCCAGCCTTGTGCCTCTCAAGAGAGAAGAGAGGGCTTGAGGAGGAGTGGGTAGAAAGGCCATGAAGAATTTGAATAAAGGGACCCTGTAGGAAGAGCAGTCAGTAGGTAGCTTAGGAGGAATGTGGTGGAAGGCTTTATTAAGGCAGTCAGGCACACCAGAAACAAAGATCAGAAAATGGATGAGTCACCACTTTGAGTGATAGACTTTTGAGGTCCAGGGAAAGAATGATTGCCACTTTGCTCAGGAAACCTGTTATACCCACGGTGACTTCCTTGCACTGCGTTTCAGTGACTGTTATTCAGTGCTGGATGATGCCCAGCAAAATGCATGGCAGGAAGCCATGGCCAGGAGAGAGGAAATATGGAATAGAGATTTCATTTCTTCTTTTATTCCCATGGAGAAATAATATGCTAGTTGTACTAATTCTTCTAAGGTGTGACTCCAAAAACAAATGTGGATGTATATTCCCAGAGGGGTGATTTTCCTTTCTTGAAGGATGGTTATAAGGAGTAACTGAGCATTTTTTACAGAATGTAGTCAGTGTTCAAGTTAGGGGGAAGAATGATGTGAAGAATTCAAATAAGAAGAGGAGATGGGGAAAATTGCATACAAAGCCAGAGATTTGTTAGGATAGTGATGACAAGTGCTGAGACAAGGGACCCCATTATCTCACTCACTGTGTGCCTTCGGGGCTGCAGGTAGACGTGCATGACCCATAGGAGAGGCCCTTTAACATTTCTGAAATGAGCTGAGGTAGGTCCACTGGAAAAGAAACATTCTTGTAAATTTGTGTTTTCAAATTTTGAGAACTTGCTTTGGCAGTGTTAATTTGTCAAAAGCAGGATTGTAGACTTAGAGGCAAAATGTTAGATTTACTTTATAGATGAGGAAATTGAGGCTTACTTGCCTAAAGTGTTAGCTATTTGGGAAGAGAGAAAAATGTAGTTGATTTCAGCTTTGAACCTCAGCTCTGGGTTCATATTTCCGCTTTGAGCTTCTTACCGCTTGTAAGACTGTCTTGGACAAGTCAATTGGTCTGTTTTTTTTTTTTTTCCCCCTCTCATTTGTAGAATAGGGGAATGATAATTCATTGGACAATTATGAGGATTAAATGTGTTGATGTATATACTGTACTTAGGGCTTTTGTAAAGAGGAAAGGAATAGGAATTGTTTCAAAGAAATTCACTAACATTCTCAAATTTTAAAGCCTCTCCAGTTGATTTTTTCTGTCTCTAAAATGAAAGGTTGCAAAGATAGAGTGTTTGCTAGGAGTTATGGAAGAAATAAGAGGATTTTAGGGTTCAGAATTATTTGAAAACAGTGTTTTCTTCCGTGTGTTTTGAAAGTTTCCTTTGGTGGGTGCTGATGCATGGTGATAAAAATAATGGTTTCAAGGGGAACTTTTAGAGGAGGGGGTAAGGTTTTGTTATGAAATAGCTAGGTGATTTATTTAAACACATGCCAAAACTTCTCTACAATTGGTGTCATGCCCTAAAGCAGAGGTGGGGAATGTCCCACCCACAGACCTAACTTTTTAGTTGAAAATTGTATAGTCCCAAGTGATATTCTAAATATTCAAGTGGCCCTTGGCAGAAAAAAACTTTCCCCACCCTTGCCCTAAAGAGTAAATGTTTAGATTTTATTCGATTGGTGTTGCCATCTGTAATATAAGTTATGGACATGAAGTTAGAACCAGTGACACATTCTTCATTCTCAATGATCCTTTGATGAATTTAATTATCTGAGACAGCCAAAAACACTATTTGGAACCAAAATTCGTTTAGTAAATAATGTTTTGTCAAAAGCAGGGAATGACTATAAAATTATTGAATTGCTTATATTTAAGTCTTGTAAATTGAGTTTCTTGTATTTGTTGCTTCCTTTGTTGAAAGAAGTATGCAAAAAATGTACGCCAAATAAATGGTTTAAAATTGTTCAGAAAGTTTAGAAAAGATGCAGTGATTGGACTGGCATACTGGCATTGTGCCCAGTGATAGAAAGTCAATAACATTTACATCTGTCAAGCTCATCCAGGTCAGGGTCATTAATTTTTTCCCCCTCTTTGGTTACAACTCTTCTTAAGTGTGCTGTGTTAATTTTAAGCCAGTTGGGATTTTTAATGTGGATATAAAAATCTCTTTAGATATTCAGACACAAATGTTGGTAAATCTCATTTTTATAAAATCTTTATAAAATGTTATCATGAGATTGCACATAATGCCTGTGATGTGAATATGTCTCTGTGTTCTTGAAATTGAGAAGGGAATTTTTTGAAATAATTTTTTCCTTGAATTTCATTTAGACAGAATATTGGTGAAAGTATTCTTTACTTGTGGGTGGAGAAAATAAGAGATGTTCTAATAGAAAAATCTCAGATGACAGAACCAGGTAAGACTGAAAAAGATTCATTGCTCTTTTAACTTATAGTGATTACATTTCCATGTAGATACTCTAGGTGAAATTGTATATAAAAATCTGTATTCTAAGTAAAGTTTGTCTCTGATAAAAAAAAATTTCTCTGTAAAGTTAATTTACTGATACAGCTATTTCTGTCCCTAAAGTTTAGCCTTTTTCCTTTCATATTGCACTCATATAACAATGAATTTTATAATTTTATGATGAACAATTTGGGTCCAAAATCTGTTCTATTTGACTGTTAAGATTATAGAAATATTGTAATTTTTCATGAGAAATTGAACTATATAAATTAGATATTAGCTTCAACTGAGCCTAGATTTTTACAGAAAATGGACTTTGGAGTACACAATGATCAATGTTAGAATATTGAATTTAACTTTGAAAATTGATTTTTTACTTATTTAATTCAGATGCTTTAATTATCCTTTTAAGGATACAAATTTTGGTGTTTTAGTACATAATTTCAGAATGTTTGAATGTTGTTACCGTGCTTGTTAAGTATATGACTTCATGGAAATTTCCTGCTACTTCACTTTGCTAGTCTTATTCTAGTCATTACAAAGTCCTCTTAAAAAATTACGCAATTTAACCTGGTATTATTTCCAAATAGTTTTATTCTTGCCACGGGTAGAATTGTTTTCAATTTGTAGAGAAAGGGATTAAAAGGGGACCTGGCAGTTTACTTACTAATTGTTTAGAAAATGGTATATGGGGAACCAATTATTTAGGCCTCCTTTAACAAAGTCAGTATACAAGTAAAATTGATCGGTCTACTTTTTTCAGAGCATTTTACCATTTTCTATACAAGGAAATGTCTTTACTGCTTCTATTAAAATCAGAGAAATAAATGGCATGAAGATACTGTATGTAACAATTGAGGTATTTTCCTGAACTTTGTGTGATCTGTGTTCACACAGATCTGTTAGCAGCATTTCAGGGCATCCATGACAAAGGTGATCTTAAAATTCTTAAAACCAAGTCAAATTTTGCCAATTTGCCTTTCTAGAATTGGAACAATTATAGATATGGAATGTATATCAGTAAAAACTTAGGACTTCAAAAAGTTTGAGATTGTTCAACTCTTAGGAAATCTTAAAAGTTGATCTTAAAAATAATCGTTTTCCTTTCCCACCTATATCTATAATATAGTTCAGCTACTCTTCAAATTTTAGAGTTATTGATTTGTTGTATAATTCATAATTTTGAATTTAGAAATTTTGTTTGGATTTTTTCTTTAAAATTTTTTTTTGCAGACTTCATGTTAAAATGGAAGGATTAATATTCTGAAGAACTAATAAGAGTAAGAGCTAGTGATCAGGATATATCATGAGAATTGTCTTCTCCAGCGTACGTCCTTGACAAGTAATTTACTTTGATTTTACTGTTAGTCTTCAGCATAAACTTATTCTTTATATTGTTTTTCCTAGCATAGAAACTTTAAATTTTGAAATAATTATGTACAACTATTGATAGTTTTTAAAACTTCTGAACCAATTTTAGAGAAAAAAGTTGCAAAAGTAGTAGAAAGAGCTCTTACATCTTTCAATCTCATTCCCTATTAATATCTCATATAACCCATTGTCTAATTATCAGGAGTAGGAAATTAACATTGGTGCAATATTAACTAAAACCTTACTCAAATTTCACCAATTTTCACTAATACCCTTTTTGGTGTTAAAGGATTCCATGTTGTATTTAGTTGTCATTTTTCTTTAATGAGTTCCCCAGTCTTTACTTGACTTCTATAACCTTTGGAAGAATCCTGACCAGTTCTTTCATAAATATCCTTCAGGTGGAGTTTGTCCAGTGTTTTCTCATGATATGAGTGAAATCAGCCAGTTTTGGCAAGAATACCATAAAAATGATACTAAGTACACTGATACAGTACATCGTATCAAGGAGTTCAGGATATCACTATGCCTTTTATTGGTGATGTTTAATCTTGATCCTTGGTTAAGGTAGTGTCTGCCAGATGTCCTTACTGTGAAGTTACTGTACCCGTGAGGGATTTCCAGAGAAACAAAATGTATGTGTGTGTGTGTGTGTATCTGAGTGAGAGAGAGAGAGGAAGAAAAAAAAGCTGGCAAGTCCAAAATCTGCAGGGTGGGAGCAGCAGGTGGGAGACCAGGGAAGAGTTGATGTTACAGTGCAAGTCCACAGTTTGTCTGCTGGAAGAATTCCTTCTGGGGAAGCCTTTTTCCTTTTAAGCCTTCAGCTTCTTGGATGATGCCCATCCACATTATGATGAGCAGTCTTCTTTACATAGCATCATCTGATTTAAATGTTCATTATATATATAAAAAAAACTTTCATAGAAACATCTAGAATAGTGTTTACTTAAGTGTCTGAGTATTGTGGCCTCGTCAAGTTGACACATAAAATTAACCATTAGTGTTGCAGTCTTTCCTTTTGTGACTTGGGAGAGACACTTGAGGCTATGCTAATACCCTTTTGCTCCTTAAGCTTTCACCCACTAATTTGGTATCCATCAGTGGATCTTGCCAGCAGTATGTGTTTCTGTGGCATTTGCTTATTGGTAGTTCTCCATTTTCTTCATTTATTCATCAAAATTCCATTGTGAGGAAGTGTTGTCTCTCATTCTCATTCATTTGTTGATGTGTTCATTTATGTTTATCAGTATGGACTTATGTATTATTGCACGTGTTAAAATTCCGCACTAACATTGTTTTGTTGCTCATGTCATGCCAGTTTGGCTTTTAGGAGCGCCTTCAGGTTGGCTCCTGTGGTATTGTTCTAAGTCCCCACATTGTTTTGAGATTTTCCTACTCTCTGGAACCATATGAGGTTCTAGGCTTATCTTGTATCTTCTTTGCTTCAACCCTGAGATCCACCACTTCCAGGAGCCTTGGTTCCTTCTGTTGAAGAATGGTACTTGGAGACCTAATGTTAGTTTTAAAGTGTAGTTCTTTACTTGCTTCGTGGATCAGTCGTAATTCTCATATCTACATAGGCCCTGAAGTAAAGAAGAAGACTGAAGAGGTGGTTGTTGAATGTGAAGATGATCCCATCGTACCACCTCAGCCAGAAAATTCAGCTAAAGCAGTGGATGTTCGTGTCAGAGAAAAGCCAAGAGGTACAATGTTACTAACTAGTTTCTTTTGAGGACTGTCCAGTGGTAGTGTTGTGTACTGCTCTTTGGGATAGTATAGAAGTTTAATAAACTCTCCAGAGTTGCATATTAGATGTTAAGTTGCAAATAATTGAGTTTCACTTTTCTCATGCTTGTTGGTCCTTTTGGTATTTGCCAACTGGTGAAGGAAAACTCAAATCTACGACCTCCTCCCATCCCCTGACCTGCTATTCTGTATTTTTGATTCAGTTATGGAATTAAAACTAAGAAAAGCTGTTAATGTTTCCAATTCACTTCCTGTTTTTGTATTTATGTTTTGAAGTTCTTAGCTGTATCCTGATACCTTAGGGTTAAATTTTAGTCTATGCTTACAAATATAAAGGTACAACTGGAAGTGTAGCCAGTGAAATTTAAGCTAGTAAAGCTACTTTTAGCATTTAATTTTTGCTAAACAAAAGTCATCATCAGGGGCGGGCACTGTGGCGTATTGGATAAGGTGGCTGCCTGCATTGCCGGCATCCCATATGGGCGTCGGTTCTGGTCCTGGCTGTTCCACTTCCAATCCAGCTCTCTGCTGTAGCCTGGGAAAGCAGTGGAGGATGGCCTTAGGTCCCTGCACCCACATGGGAGACCCAGGAGAAGCTTCTGGCTCCTGGCTTTGGATTGGTGCTGCTCTGGCCATTGCAGCTAACTGGGGAGTGAACCACCGGAGGGAAGACCTCTCTCTCTCTCTGCCTCTCCTTCTCTGTATGTATAACTTTGACTTTCAAATGAATGAATAAGTAAATCTTTAAAAAAAATAAGTCATCATCAAGTAGAACTCAATTTCTAAATAGGTTGATGATATAAGATCAGTTCCATGTTTCTATGTTTCATTTTAGTTTTTAAAAATTTTTGAATGTTACCAGTTTCCTGAAAATCTTAGAAAACCACGATAGACCTAGAGGGAACATTCATTCTACTTGAAAGTGAGGAATCTCCTATTCCCTTTCAAAGTATATTTTAAGCAGTATTCCGAAAGTTTTTTTTTTTTTTTTAAGATTTAGTTGAAAGGCAGAGTTGGAAAGAGAGCGAGCGAGTGAGCGAGCGAGCGAGCAAGTGAGATCTCCCATCTGCTTATTCATTCCCCAACTGGCCACAGAGCCCAGAGATGGGCAGATCTGAAGCCACAAGCCAGGAGCTTCTTCTGGGTCTGCCACATGGGTGCAGGGGCCCAAGCACCTGGGACATCTTTTGCTGCATTCCCAGGTGTGTTAGCGGGGAGCTGGATTATATGGATTTTAAGTGGAACAGCTGGGACTCAAACCGGTGCCCATATGGGATGCTGGTGATGCAGACAAAGCTTTACTCACCACATGCAGCACCTGCCCGAATTCTCAGTTTTAATGTTTCCAAATGGTGTCCCAGGAGTAGTAGAAAGGATAAAAAGAAAATAAAGTTGGGCAGAGGATCCAAGGCTCTTGCTTGTGCTCCAACCTAAGTAGCTCCCATTGTAATAATTTATCTATTTGTGGATTTCATATAAGATTTATTTTGGGAGCTGGACTCCACTGTTGAAAGAAAAGGGGTAAAAATCACAGGTCATAATAAATAGCTTCAATAGATTGGTTCTCATATTGACCTTAATACTGTATTTGACTTATTAATATACTAGGACAGTGGTCATAATTAATTTGAGAAGAGGGCTATATCAGAGGGAAAGTGAATTATCCTACATAAACCTGGCTTCTTGTCTTGAGTAGCTCTTTATCCTAAGTGAGACAGGTAGTGGCAGCCAGGATATCTAAGTTTCTCCAATAGAGTTAAGGGTAAATGAGTGATTATTGAAGTTGTTTAAGAAGCAGAATAACTGGAAATCCTGAGACTCTTTATGGAGTGTCAATTGGATATATTTATTACTGCTGTATTTATTTCCATCATAAGAAGTAGGAAGAGTTTTGTTAACAGAAAGTGGTATTATAGCTATATGACATAAAGTCATAGGTTTTCTAACTTAGAGTTCTGTCAACGGTAGTGGTGATATAAATTGTGGTAAATTAGCAGCTGTCAATCTTTGGTGTAGAGTCCCCTGACACTCTTAAGTATTAGACATTGTGTTAAATACTGTATCAGTTTGTACTGTTGGCAACAGTCCAGGATTTTAATCCCAGTCTACCATTTCACTGGGAGAACTTGGCAGGTAGAAATCATTTGTAAGTATTTTTATCTTGTGTAAGATATATTTGGAAACTTGTATACTTATTTTTGATCCACAACTATTAATATATATTTTAGTTTATTTGATTGATTTACATTTCTTTCTCAGTCCTCCCCAGCCCAATACCAATTTTTCAATATTTGGATGTGAGAATTAAAAAAAAATTTCTTTAAATTTTTAGAAGTAGAAGAAATACCTCCAATTGATCATGGCGTTCCCATTACAGACCGAAGAAGTACTTTTCAGGCACACTTGGCTCCGGTGGTTTGCCCCGAACAGGTAAAGTTACTGTGTCTAGTTGACTTAGATGTTGTTTGGACAGAATAATTTTTTAAGTGACTTTGCAGTATTGTCCTTATTTTCACTCTTCTCATGTAAGACAAAAGTTATTTGCTTATTTTCACACTCTCAAATTACTGTGAATTGTGGAAAATTTGTTTCGGTTAGTCAGTGCTTTCAAAATTGTTTCTAAATTTAAGTTAGAGTTTAACCCTCTAGTAAATCTTGACATGGAGAAATCCACTGTGTATGTAGAAAATTCTGTTTACTAGAGCTACTTAGAAAGAATTCTTTGTCTTACTGAGTGGAAATTCTGTGAATCTAAGTCCATTCCATTGTTGCTCATTGAGGGGGACAGTGGACAGACTGGCTGTGTCCAGTCTTCTTAGATCCTGACTTACCTGAGTGGGAATAATAAGGTACTTATTCCCGCTTCAAGGAGGTAACTGGGAGACCTTTTCTTTTCTTCTTTAAAGACTATATTCCTAGCTCTTTGCCATTCTCAGAGTCCTTTTCTTCTTTGTCTCTAATAATCTACCTGGGCATAAACTTTATTGATGTTTAAGGCAATTTCAGTACTCTGAAAATGGTTTTTTTTAAAGGGTCTTATTATTTATCACAGTTTTTAAGCATTAATCTCTTTCCTTTTGTCTCTGTAGCTAACTCTACTCTGAGATCTTTTAAAGCCGTGCTTTTAGGGATTCAGTTCTTTGTACCAGGCTGTTTCACTCTCTTTAGTCTCTGGAAGAGGAAGTTCTTTTGTTGACTTTTGGTGCAACCTTCTAGTCTTTCAGGATTTGTATTTTGTCCTTAGCCCTTGCTCATTATCTTATCTAGATCCTCCTTAGACATTCTTTTTTTTTTTTTTTTTTTTAAGATTTATTTTACTTACTTGAAAGAGAGAGAGAGAGAGAGACAGAGCGCTCGCGCTTCCATTCGCAGGTTCACTCCCTAAATAGCAGCAATGGTAGGGAATGGAACAGGCTTCTTTTGGGTCTCCGATGGTCGAGGCCAGGACCCAAGGACTTAGGCCATCTTCCTCTGCCTCTCTAGGCACATTAGGAGGGAGCTGGATTGGAAGTGGAACAGTGGGGATTTGAACCGGCAACCATATTGCTGCAGGCTGTGGCTTAACCTACTGTATCACATCATCAGCCCCTAGACCTTCATTCTTTATGAACCTGTTCAACCTGAATTCTCTTTTCTGTTTCTGATGGTAGTCACTTAGTCTTACAGGATCATAGTATGTGAAAGCTGAAAGAAATCTTAGAGGTCCCTGGCTTCTTACTTTTATAATCAGGAATCTGAGACATGAAAGGTTAAAGATCTGTAGACATAAGATGACACAATTTCTAATTCAGTTTGATCTTCCTGACTTCAGCTGTTGTTCCTGTCTCTGATGCTTAGTCTATACTCCTTGCCCGTTACATTTAACCTTCTGAAAAATCTGGCCACGTGTCACTCTTCTATCCTCCATTCTACCTCACACACACAGTCTTTTCTGATTTGCATCATCTGCAAAGGAAAATTTAAGCTCCTTGTATAAGATCATTTGTGGCTGGCGTCACAACTCACTTGGCTAATCCTCCACCTGCGGCACCAGCACCCCGGGTTCTAGTCCCAGTTGGGGTGCCGGATTCTGTCCCAGTTGCTCCTCTTCCAGTCCAACTCTCTGCTGTGGCCGGGAATGCAGTGGAGGATGGCCCAAGTGCTTGGGCCCTGCACCCGCATGGGAGACCAGGAGGAAGCACCTGGCTCCTGGCTTTGGATAGGCGCAGCACTGGCCATGGCGGCCATTTTGGGGGTGAACCAACGGAAGGAAGACCTTTCTATCTGTCTCTCTCTTTCTCACTGTCTAACTCTGCCTGTCAAAAAAAAAATTTGTGATGTAACTCTTGCTTATCATTCCTGACACATGTATCTTCTCATTCATATTTTAAGTCATAGCTGCATCAAACTTCCTGAACCTTTCTTTGTATCTTCCTTTTGGAATTACCAGATAAAATACAGGATACCTAGTTATATTTGAATTTCAGGTAAACATTATTACATGGGATCTAACACTAAAAAATCTGAAGATTCAAATTTAAGTGAGTATCCTTTATTTTTAAAGATTTACTTATTTGAAAGGCAGAGTTAGAGAGAGAGAGAGGTCTTCTATCTACTGGTTCACTCCCCAGATGGCCATATCAGTTGGGGCTGGTCCAGGCAGAAGCCAAGAGGGAACTCCATCAGAGTCACCCATATGGGTGGCAGGGGCCTGAGCACTTGGGCATCTTCCCTGCTTTCCCAGGTGCATTAGCAGGGAGCTGGATCAGAAGTGGAGAGGCCGGGACTTGAACCAGTACCCATATGGGATGCTGGCATCACAGGCATCATCTTACTTAACCTGCTGTGCCTCACTGCTGGCCCAGTGCATCCTCTTTTTATTTGCCAAATCTGATCACTTCAGTCTCTGCACTTGCTGTTTCCTCTGAGTGGAATGCCTTCCTGTGCCCTTCTCTCGTTTTGGTGCAGAACTCTTATAAGATTTGCCTCACGAGTTTAGGATTCCTCTCTGAACTTCACTTGACTCCCAGAGAAAAGTTTTGGTTTTCTGGAATGTAGAACATGCCCTACCATTGTTGTATACCTGTCACATGGATATGTATGTTTGGCAAATTTCAGAATATTTAGACATTATTATATTTGCATTAAAATTATCTATGAGGAAGAGAAATTTTCAAGTATCTCTGACATAGTTAGTACCCACATATTGATAATTAATGTGCAGGCATGCCAGGTCTGTCATTTTTGTAACAATTGACTGTACTAGCTTCTATCTGTAAAATGAAAAAGCTATAGAATTGTTTTTTTCAATCTAATGGACTCTTTAAATGACTCTTTAATGCAGTGTTCATATTAATATGCTTTGATATATCTTTCTAGCATTTTATTTACAGTGCAAATGCAAAACATATATTAGTTTATTTGTATTACTGCTGTTTTTAAGGTGAAAATGGTTCTTTCCAAATTGTATGAAAATAAGAAAATATCTAGTGCCACTCACAACATCTATGCCTACAGGTGAGTGATTATCACAATTTTTGGAAAATGCAATTTGTGAAAAATGGGAGGGGGGAAAAGATGATACATGATTTTTAAAAATAACTTATAAAAAACTATTATATTTTTTCTTGCTGCAATAGTAATAGACATGAAGAATACTTGGAAAGTGTAGAAAAGACCAAAAAAAAAAAAAAAAAACAAAAAACTAGAAGAATTGAAAAATCGGGCCTCTTTGCCATTATATCTGATAACATTTTGGTAACGTTTCTGGCTTTTCTATGGAATTTTTAATGATGCTTTACCTTTGTTCCATTTTTTAAAAATTTACTTGAAAGAGACAGAAACAGAGAGTCATTTACAGATCTCTTGTCCTATGGTTCACTCCCCAAATACCTGCAATAGCCAGGACTGGGTCGGGCTGAAGCCTGGATCTGCAAACTCCATCCAGGTCTCCCATGTGGGTAGCAGGGACCCAACTACTTTGAGTCACCATCTGCTGCCTTCCAGGGTGCACATTAGCAGGAAACTGGAATCAAGAGCAAAGCTGGGACTGGAGCCCAGGCACTTGATCTGAAGCTGTGGTGTCTTGACTGCTGAACATTTCCCCATGTTGTTATAACTACTTGATAAACACTGTTTCAATGGATGTGCAACAGTTGAGGCTCATACCACAGTTTATTTGACCGTTTCTGTTTTGATTTTTCACTATTATAAAGAATGGTCCAATGAACGTCTTTGTAAATTTACTAGCTTAATTTTTTTATGATAGGTTCTGGTTACTTCAGATTTTTTTTTTTTGAAATGAGGATATAATTAAAAGGAAAAAAAATTCTTACAAGTAGAATTATTAAGAAGTGTGATGTTTGGAACTTTCAGTGTATTGTCAAATTTTTTCTGAAGGTATGTTTTGGACCAGTTTATGCTGCCATCAGTAGTGAATTGAGCATACTTCTTTTACTATGTGCCTTTTTAATGATTTATTTATTTGAAGGAGTAACAGAGGGAGAGACAGAGCAAGATCTTCCATCCACTGGTTCACTCTCCCAGATGGCTACAATAGCCAGGGTTTGGCCAAAGCCAAGAGAGCTTCTTCCATGTCTCCCACGTGGGTGGCGGGGGCACAAGTACTTGGGTCATCTTCCACTGATTTTCCAGGCCATTAGCAGGGAAGCTGTATCAGAAGTAGAGCACCTGGGATAGGAACTGGTACCCATAGGGGATGCTGGCAGCACAGGCAGAAACTTTACCCACTATGCCACAACATCAGCCCCTGCCTTTTAGTTTTTATAGAAGTCTCTGCTGATTTGTAAGTGAAGCAGTGAAAGGTGTTTTTTTTTTTTTAAAAAAAAACATGGACAGTGATAAGACTTTTTTTTTTTTTTTTTGACAGGCAGAATTAGACAGTGAGAGACAGAGAGAAAGGTCTTCCTTTTCCATTGGTTCAGCCCCCAAATGGCCACTACGGCCGGTGTGCTGTGCCGATCCGAAGCCAGGAGCCAGGTGCTTCCTCCTGGTCTTCCATGCGGGTGCAGGGCCCAAGCACTTGGGCCATCCTCCACTGCCTTCCTGGGCCACAGCAGAGATGGACTGGAAGAGGAGCAACTGGGACAGAATCTGGCACCCCAACTGGGACTAGAACCCGGGGTGCTGGTGCCGCAGGTGGAGGATTAGCCAAGTGAGCCGCGGCGCCGGCCCAGTGGTAAGACTTAAAGAGAACATAATTTAGGCCTAAAATCAGAACACAGACACAGAATTTGGCACAAATTTAATTCATGGTTGAGATTACTTTTATTTATAAAATCCGGGCTATGTGAAACTCAAACCCTATCATCACTTTGGATGCGTGAGTTTTTAATATTATTAAGTTCATATCTCTTTGAGTGCCAATATGTTAAAGAAAACTGTTGTATAATTCCTTCCTTAATATAATATTACTGGACAGATATTTAATGTGTTCTTAAGGAGTTAGGGCCTCAGGATGAAGATGAGGGGTTAGACTTTACTGTCATGGATTGTGAAAATAGTTACCATTCATTCATTGATTCCTCAGGCATAGTGAGTACCAGCCCTTTTGTAAGTTAATTCTAATTTTATTTGCAATCCTGTCACTGTAAAAAGTTAACTTTTTCAAAATCCCGTGGTTGTTAAGTGATAGAGCAGAGCAGAATCTGAAAATCTGGTTTAATTTATCTCTTTATTTCACTTCTATGGCGCTGTGTGGCTGCACCTTCAACAATTTTGTATATGATGTTACCACCAAAAATAGTTTGATGTGTCAGTTATCCAGTTTCAGGTTTAGATTTTTGGGCTTTTATATAAAGTTATTATGAGAGTTTTAATTTTCCTCTCATTTCATTTTAGTAAGTGATCAGCTGTCTCTTCCCATGTATGTTGTCAACATGACTGCAAATGGCAGTTCCTCTCCCTGGCCCTCCCTGATGTAGTTGATGCTTTACTTGTCAAAATTGTCTGTCAGATAAGACTGCAAAAGGACACAGAATGGAGCCTTGAGGGACCCCACTGTGAACAAAAGAAATGACTTTATTTGGTGCATGGACACTGGGATGTGTATTTTGAACATGTAGGACCCTTTTGAGGGTACTTCCTGGTATAGGGCTATATTCCCGCTTTGGAGTTTTGGGTTGCCCCTCAGGCACGGGTGCACACAGCTATTGGGTGCTGCATCAATCATTATCTTTCTGGCATGTGGGGACAGCGTTAGTGAAACTTTCCATGGGTTCATCTATTTTTTTTTTTTTTTTAAGATTTATTTATTTATTTGAAGGAGTTAGAGAGATCTTCTACCTGCTGGTTCACTCCCCAGATGGGCACAACAGCCAGCACTGGGGACAGGCCAAAGCCAGGAACCAGGAGCTTGTTCCAGGTCTTCCATGAGGGTAGCAGGGGCCCAAGCAGTGGTATTCCTCTGCTGCTTTCCTAGGCACAGTAACAGAGTTGGATTGGAAGTGGAACAGCAGGGACTTTTCTTTTTAACATTACTGGTTTATATTGTCAAATTTTCTGCATTTGTTCATAAATTATGGTTTTTAGATTACGGTTACAAACCTAATATAAACCAACCCCCGAATGCTTTTAGCCCTAAATTTGTCATACAAAATTTTGTTTGATAGTACTTACTTTTCCATAGGTGAGGTCAACTCTAAATAATAGACCTGCTAATAGTAGGTGGTCAGTTAATGTTTATTGAACAGGTGGATGTATTGAAGGATGAATTTATATATAAAATAGTATAACTGACTTGATGTGTAGATGAGCTTTAAAGGCTTTTACATTTACATACACTGGGAGGAGGGCTTTATCATGTTTGTGCATTGCCACATGCTATCATTGTAGGGGATTGTGAAACCCACTGGATGGCAAATCTAAAGTGGCTTTTTTTTTTTTTTTTTGGATAGGCAGAGTGGACAGTGAGAGAGACAGAGAGAAAGGTCTTCCTTTTGCCGTTGGTTCACCTTCCAGTGGCCGCTGCGGCCGGCACACCGCACTGATCTGAAGGCAGGAGCCAGGTACTTATCCTGGTCTCCCATGGGGTGCAGGGCCCAAGCACTTGGGCCATCCTCCACTGCACTCCCGGGCCACAACAGAGAGCTGGCCTGGAAGAGGGGCAACCGGGACTAGAACCTGGTGTGCCGGTGCCGCAAGGCAGAGGATTAGTCTTGTGAGCTGCGGCGCCGGCTTAAAGTGGTGGTTTTTAAAAAATGTCCAGCACTTATTTCTGAAGCTTATTTTATTACATTGCATTCATTATTCCAAATGCTAACTTTTTGGGTAGAAAATACCATGATTTGTTTCTAATTTTGATAACCCTCTAGGAGGAAATTTTAAAGAGGAAAAGAAATCTTTTAATTCTCGTAATGAGAAATACTTGATGGCTGGAATAAGATGAAAATAAAAAATATTAGCTTGTATTGGTCTCCATTTTTCTTAGTATATGTGCTTTTCAGTGACTGTTCTCTGTAACTGCTAGCTTCAAGGTTAAATGGAGTAAAGGAAGTTCGGATGTGTAAGTCACCTTCCCATAATAGCAGCATTACTGTTACAAAGGAGACCCCTGTGATCACTAGCTTTGCCAAATATGGAAAAGGCAGTAAACCATCCGTGAAAATGTATCTCATATGTGGTTCAAGATAGATTTTTTTTTTAAAACAAATAAATTGAGTTTAGAAGTAACCAGATTGATTATAACAAGTGTTGAGGAGTGACTTAAGATTTTGGAATCCTAAAGTGTAATGCTATTAAATGTATTTCCAGAATATATTGTGAGGATAAGCAGACCTTTCTGCAGGACTCCGAGGATGATGGGGAGACTGCTGCAGGTGGGCGTCTTCTTCACCTCATGGAGGTAAGTGTGAGTTAAACTCTGTGACTCCTATTCTATGTGAGCCATAAAATTTCTCAATGAAACAGAGCTCCATTTAGCAATGAGTTAATCAGTGGAACTATGTAACATAAAATATGTGGTTTAATTAGTGGGTTTTTTTTTTTTTTTAGCATTAGGTGGAGGGAAATCTTAGCTACTGGATTTGGGTGGAAAGCAAGTGGTTAATATCAAGTTCTATGTTTTTATGATGTAGATGGTAAAAGATTGCCTTCAACTTTGGGAATATTTCTTCTTTGTTTCTTTGACAATTTCCTCCACCTCTTTTTTCGGTTGTATCTTTGCGGAAATCCTGTTAGTTGGATATTACAACTGCTGGGTAGCTTCAGAATGATTATTAAGTTGTCCATCTCATTGTCTTTATGTTCTGAGACATTTTCTTGGCTGTCTTCCAAATTTCTGTTGAATTTATAATTTTTTTTCGCAGCCAGGTATTTCATTTTTAAGCACTCTTTTTCTCGGTTTTCCCTTTCTCATAGTATCCCATCCTGGATGTATGGTTGCAATATCTTCTAAAATTTCTCCAAGTTTATTAATTAGAGTTTCCTTTTTCAGATGTTCTCACCCTTAAATTTTTCCTGGTCCATTTTAGTTTATCTTGTCCTTTCTCTTTCATGCTGCTGGATTTTCTTCATCTGTCTGGTGATCATTGATTGTCCATTAATTTTAAGAATGGATTATTTTTTTCCTAAGGTAGTTACTATAGTTTCTTCTGCTAATGTCTGTGGAGGTTTGTTTTCTGATGAGGCCTGTCCCTTGAATGGGATCCCTGGATGAGGGTTAGGCCTGTAGACTGGTGGGCCTCACTGGAAGGGCAGCCTTTGCCAAATGTCAAATTGATGAAGACCTTCCGACAGGTAACAGCAGTGACTGCTCACGCAGCCTCTGTTCTCCACCAGTTTGCTCAGAAGCAAGCAGGATGTTGCTGCCATTATTGCACCCAGTGGGAGAAGGCTGCCGAAACTGAACTGTTTTGGTTGGAGTTATCAAGAACTGGAACCCTACCTGCATGAGCTCCCTTTCACTCCCTGGTTGCCCCAAAGTGTAGAATTTGAGGACATTGTGGAACCCAGTGTTGGTGTTCCAAATTCCCTCTAACATCTCATCCCTTAAATTGTTAATAACCTCACCCAGTGCATACTCATGGTTCTGCCATTAAAGTCACTAGGAAATTTTATGTGCTATGGGCTATTTCATTCTACTTTAAAACTCATATTTATATATGCCTATGTATCTAACTGTGCTTCTGAAAATCACAGATTTTAAATGTGAGGAATGTCCTGGTGGTAGTATCCCGCTGGTATGGAGGGATTCTGCTAGGACCGGATCGCTTTAAACATATCAACAACTGTGCCAGAAACATACTAGTGGAGAAGAACTATACCAGTTCACCAGTAAGTGACTGTTGATACTATGTCTGGAGAGTTTATCCTCATTGCCTGTGAAATAGAAATGATAGAAAATTAAGAGTGAAGTAGAACATGAGTGGTCTGGACTAGGAAGCTGGAAATAGGCTCTAGTCAGAACAGTGTGACTGGATAGTTATGTGGCCTTGGACAGATCATTTCATCTCTTCAAACTTTGATGTCATAGATTTAAAATTTACATTAGAAAGACCTTTGAAGACAAACTGACTTCTGCCTCCTAAAATTGCGGCCTAGAGAGATGGCAATTAATGTCACATTAGAAGTTCTTTAAAGATCTATAAAATTTCCTATTGGTGTCAAAGCGTACCCCTTCCCCAGGCATGCATTTAGATACTTCTCCCTTTATTCTCTGAGTTCATTTTGTTTTGTATTTTAAGTATATTTGAAAGGCAGAATGAGATAGACAGACATGTTCCATCAGCTAGTTTACTCCCTAGATGTCAGCAAACAATAGCCAGGGTTAGGTCAGGCCAGAGCCATAAGCCAGCATGTTGGTAGCAGGAACCCAACTACTTGGGTCATCTTCCACTGCCTCTTAAGCCCAGTGGCAGAAAGCTGGACTGGAAGTGCAAAGTAGCTGGGACTCAAAGTAGGCACTAGGGTATGAGATGCAGGGGTCACAAGTGAGAGCTTAACCTATGCCACAGTGCCCTCCTTGGTTCATATATATTTTAAACATTACTGCTTTGAGAAAATGGAAATAGATAATAGGGAAATTATTGAAATATAAATGTGTTAGGTATTTTCCTTGATGATCTTTCACTGTCTTGAAAATATAAGTGAAAGTGCCCCGTAAGACAAAGATGATAAAGATGAGAGTGATTATACCCTCATTATTATATACAGTCTATGATTTAAGTTTTCATATTCATATAAATTGAGAGATACTAAATTGAATTGTGTTTTTTTTTTTTTTTCAGGAAGAATCATCTAAGGCTTTGGGAAAGAACAAAAAAATGAAAAACAAGAAGAGGAATGAGCATTAATACCTGAAACCATATGAAAGGTTAATTTGCCTACAATTATATACACATTCCATAGTCATCAAGGAGTATGTTGTACGCGAGTATCCTTGACTGTGCTCAAGTCAGCCAATTCACCGTGGACACCAGCATTATCTTTCTCCGTTGGTTATACCATCTGCCAAAAATAGACAACTTATGATAAAATCATGTGTGTTTCAGGCTTGCTTGAGAGAACTGATTTGACCTTATTGACCACTTCGTCTAATTTTAGAAGGCAACAGTTGCCCAGGGCAGTATTTGGATTACTGTCTTTTTTGGTGTGTGTCAAGTGCCTTTGTTAGGTGGGGGAGAGAGATCTCTAGAGGTTAATGAATACCTGATTTCTTGTCATAGAGATTCTTGTACTGTTAAATGAATGTTGCCTTGTACTGCTCTTTATGGCTTACTGGAACAGGAGCTCATGGAAGACTGATCTTGGAGAGTTTCTTCTTGTGATTTCGGTACATCAGTATGTCACCTTTCATAGTGTTCATCATTGAATAATAGATTAAGTGAAAATTTAGGTGTATCCATCTACGATTATGTGCTGAGGTGATCATCCATCTAACATATTTGTTAGCATAAATGTTATGCCTCAATTTATGTCACAAACTTGTGATTGTGAAGTTTCAAAAAGTGATTTCCTAGTCTCTGCGTTTTTTTGGAGTTAATTCTTGTAATGTGAAGCCGTAGAATATGGAGTGTCAGTAGGTTCCTTCCACCCTTGAAACATGTTGATGTTAATATACAGTTTCTTTTACCAACTTGGAAGTAGTACCCTTCTTGTGAACTTCATCAAGGAATTAGAACCATGCTAGAAGGGAGGCGATGGGTTAATGAAACATTAATGGAATGGGATAGAAGTGGCAGAATGTTGCTGGTATAGGGCAAGAATGGGTAGGATAGTTGATGCACACTTCCCATCTGAGCTCCAGATAGCTTTCTCAGTTCTGTGATTTTGCAGAGAGAAGGAACAAAACTTTTGATTGGAAGAACAAAGACATTCCCTCTTTTTCCACTCCTGTCAAATCTTCCTTTTTTTATCGATGCTTCCAGTTTCTTTCCTCTGAAGTTACCTCTAGGCATTCAGATAATTTATCTTTGAGATAAAACAGTAAGTCCTAAACAGTTCCTTTTCAAACATGTTTGGAACCAATTGTTCTTAAGTTCTTACTTAAAGGCTGGTGTCATGGCGCAGCAGGTTAAGATACCGCCTGCGGTGCCTAGCATCCCATATAAATGTGGGTTCGTTTCCTGGCCACTCTGCTTCTGATCCAGCTCCCTGCTAATGTGCCTAGGAAAGCAGAAGATGGCCCAAGTGCTTGGGCCCCTGACCCACGTGGGAGACCCAGGTGGAGTTCTGAGCTGTTGCTTTCAGCCTGGTCTAACCTCCCCCCCTCCCTCTCTCTCCCCCTTTCTGTAACTATGCCTTTCAAATACATAAAAATTTTTTAAAAGAGTTCTTACTTGATCATAGAAATTAGGAGGCAGCTTGGGGTTGTCCTGAAACATGGGATGCATCAGAGAACTGGACAGAGATTTTTGTTTTCTCTTCAGTGTTTTACCTTTAAAAGATCTAACATCTTTACTTGATATTTTTAATAAAAGTCTATCAGATAGCTTTACACTAGGGTGGGTTCTGAGTCATAAAATCTAAATTATTTTTGCTGTAAGTATATTTAATGATGTGAATGATCAAGGATCAGAGAAGGACCTATTTGGAACATTTACCTCGGATACCATGAAATGTTTAATATATACTATATATTAATTCTTAGAATAATTAAAGGAATTAGAGCCCAGTAATAATAAAATAACTTCACGATTTTGGCATGCCAGACTTTTAAAAGGAAAAAACTAACACTTTGAAAATAAATGAGTTAATTTTTCTGCAACACTGAATTTGAATTTTTCTTTTTTTATCTAACATTTATTTAGGTCTTTTTGTTTTGTTTTGTTTCCTTTTAATTGAGTTGAAAGGCAAAGAGACACAAAGGTTTTCTGTCTGCTGGTTCTTTCCCCAAATGCCCGCTATGTCTGAGGCTGGGCTGGTGCTGGGCTGATCCAAAGTCGGGAGCCTGGAGCTCTGTCCAGGTCTCGCAGCCAGGTGGCAGGAATCCAGCTAGTCCAGTCATCACTTGCTGCCTCCCAGGAAGTTAAGATCAGAGGTGGAGCCAGGACTGAAACCCAGACACTTTCATAGGGGATGTGGGCATCTCAAGTGGCATTTTAACTGCTCTGTCAACCACCCACCCCTTATTTAGGTCTTTACAGAAAATAAGGCATCCTTATATCCATGATCTTATTTTCCCGTATTTTTAGAAAAAGCTTAATTTTGCCTTTTGCTACAGAGTTGTTAACCCTATTTTGCTGAATAATAATAAAAAGTCTGTTTGCCCAAAGTCAGTTAGCTGTAGGAGGGAGAGGTTCCAGTTTCTCTACTTCTGAACTCTGGGTTATTTCACATTCTACAATTAAGGAAAACCTAATTAATGATAGTATTTTTCTCCCTCTATTTAAAATTTCTCTTGAATAGAGGATTTTCCAATTTTCCAAATACTTTCTATAACCAGATCTATGCTGTGGCATATTTTATATTCGTTAAAATATTTTCCATATGCCAGCATATAAGAACAAGTCATGTCTACTTTGTAAGTGGGAATAGCAGTTGCTGCATCCAATGTATGCTTTTGAGGTATTTATCATGAAACAGAGCCTATCTGAAGAGAATTATATCGAACAAATCCTAAGACAGAACAGCGTGAAACACATACTGTTTAGAGGGCTGGTGAGATTTATTGCAAAAATTGCATAATCACCTCTAGTTCTCCCATAGAGATAACCATTCTTAACATTTGGTATGTACATTTTATTTTTTTCTTATGCATGATTTTGTATATATGACTATTTTTCTTTCCATAAAAATGGTATTAAACTGTATATACCGTTTTGTATCTTACATATTTCATATAGAAGTATATTGTTAACATTTTCCCATGTCAATAAATATTCTTCTATGGCTTAAATTTCTTATGACTTATTTTTTATCTCCTGGGTATCTCAGATTCATCCATTTTGTTGCAGGTGATCAGATTTCATTTTATTTTCTACTACTGTGCAGTATTCTATAGGATACATATCCCATAATTTCTTTATCCAGTCTTTAGTTGATGGGCATTTAGGTTGATTCCATGTCTTAGCTATTATGAATTGAACTTCAATAAACATGGGTGTGCAGATAACTCTTTTATTTACTAATTTCATTTTCCTTGGGTAAATTCCTGGGAGTGGGATAGCTGGGTTATATGGTAGGTCTATATTCAGATTACTGAGGTATCTCCATACTTTCTTCCATAAGGGGAATTCCCAGTTTACATTCCCACCAACAGTGGATTAGGGTACCTTTTTTTCCGACATCCTTGCTAGCATCTGTTTGTTGATTTCTGTATGAAAGTCATTCTAATTGGGATGAGGCAAAACCTCATGTGGTTTTGATATGCATTTGCCTGATGGCCAGTGATCCTGAACATTTTTTGATGTGCCTGTTGGCCATTTGGATTTCCTCTTGAAAAATGTCTGTTTAAGTCCTTTGCCCATTTCTTTACTGGGTTGTTTATTTTGTTGTTGTGGAGTTTCTTGATCTATTATATTCTGGTTATTAATCCTTTATCAGTTGCATAGTTTGCAAATAATTTCTCCCATTCTGTCGATTGCCTCTTCACTTTACTGAGTGTTTCTTTTGCTTTTATCTTTGTACTGTGCCTCTGTAGATTAGTGGGGTGTCTGCTTTCAGTTAATATCTAGAGGCATGTAGTGGGTGTGACCATGGAGCTCTGTTCAGTTCTCCAGGGTGAAGGGCATGTCTAAGGTGACACACCCAGGTTTGGCGTGGTAATTTTTTTTTTTTTTTAACATAGGATCAGAGAGGAGGTTTATTCTACCCAGCCGAGCTCCTTTCCTCAAAGGAGACCAGTGCTTGAGCACTATCCCCAGTGGGTATAATTTTCGTCTGCTCTGCCACAAGAACCACACAAAGGATCTGTGCAGTCCTCAGTGTAAGCTCAGATTTCCCAGAAGTGTCCCTCACCAGGTTACCACGGAGCCCTGAGCCCTTGGATTCTTGCACATTGACTGGCCAAAGTCCCAGCCATACCCTGAGCCCTCCCACACAGCCTCAGTTTTTTTACAGTCCCAGCACAGAAGCCTCCCACAGTCAGAAGCACCCAGCCCCCTGTTAGCTCTCCCCACCAGATTCAGGCGTCTCTACTTAGCTGGGTGCAGACACGAGCTGGTGCAGCTGTTACATATGTACAAAGTGGTACTCTAGTGGCTTGTTACAGGATGCCGTTGCAGGGTGAACTGGGGAGAGAGAAATGTGCCCACCCCCCTTTTCTCTAGTTTTGCAGGTACACTGTCCCCTGTGGGGCTCCAAGCCGGCTTCCCTCTAGGCTCTTCCTGCAACTTTATTGCCAGTGGCTTGGGCTGCTGCAGTCTGGTTTCACCTCACTCTCCAAATGCTGGTGTGGAAGCTCATGGCTACTAGGATCCTGAGTTGTGGGCATCCATGTCCTTCATGTAGGTCCACCGTCAAATTTGTGTAGTGTTTTGTCTTCCATTTTCTTCTTAACTCTTCTCAGACACTGCACTCTCTCACTTTTTTAAAAACTATCTTCTCCTAGACTAGGGCAGTAAGCTCCCTCCCTACTCCACCATCTTGGAAGCCCCCACTCCCCAACTTTAAGCAATTTATTAATTCATTAGGAGTCTCAAGAGTCACAGCAAGTATATAATTACTACAACAAAATTCTAATCAATTTCTGTTGATGTGATAGTAACACAAAGAAACAGATTCATCATAGGTTTCATGAATTTCATAGACATGATTCCAAGAATATAATGGTACTTTTCTCCCTCCTCCCTTCCCTCCTTCCATTTTAACTTTTGTTGAAAAACATTTTCAATGTTCCTCTAAACAAAGAGCTAGGTAAATGAAAGGTATATAGACCACTGTACTGTAGGGATGTAGACAGGAGTTACAGGCAACAGTCAAATCACAAGATATCTGTTTAGCCTGATATTCATTGAGGGTTTTTGGTACTTCCCTTCTTTCTTCTCCCCCTCTCTTCCTTCTTCCTTTGTTTAGTTTTTGAGATAACATTTTTAATTTACATTATAGTGAAAGATTTAATGCTCCACTAAATAAAGAATTCAACAAATTAAAAAGACCTTAGTTCAGCAGGAATAGGCAATGGGTATAGCAGTACTTAAGTGAAAAGTCCATTTTGCTCATATAGTAATTTTTAAAATAATCATAGATCATTAAAACTATAGTGTGTGTATATGTATATATATGTCTATATAATAAATGTATAAACTACCATAAATAAGTGAAAATGTGAGATTTTTCTTTTTGGGTCACTTTATTTCACTTAGCATAATGATCTCCAGTTGTATCCATATTGTTGCAAATGTCAGGATTTCATTTTCTTAAGGTTGAGTACTATTCCATCATGTACATATATCACATTTTTTTTGTCCAGTGATCAGATGATGAACATCTAGGCTGGTTACATATCTTAGTTATTGTGAATTGAGCTGCTATAAACATAGGAATGCAGGTAACTCTATTATAACTGCCCTATAGTATGTCTTGACATCTGGTATTGTGATGTATCCAGCTTTGTTTGTGTTGTTTAAGATTGATTTGGTTATTCAGGGTCTTTCTGTTTCCATATGAATTTTAGTATAATTTTTTCTAGAAAAGAATGTCCTTGGTATTTTGATTGGGATGGATTGAATATATAAGTTGCTTTGCTTGGATGAATTTTTTTAAAGATTTATTTATTTGAAAGAGTTATGCAGAGAGAGAGAGAGAGAGACTTTTTTTTTTTTCTTTTTTTTTTTTGACAGGCAGAGTTAGAAAGTGAGAGAGAGACAGAGAGAAAGGTCTTCCTTTTTTTTTCCGTTGGTTCACCCCCAAATGGCCACTACAGCCGGCGCGCTGCACCAATCTGAAGCCAGGAGCCAGGTGCTTCCTCCTGATCTCCCATGCGGGTGCAGGGCCCAAGCACTTGGGCCATCCTCCACTGCCTTCCCGGGCCACAGCAGAGCTGGACTGGAAGAGGAGCAACTGGGACAGAATCTGGCGCCCCAACCGGGACTAGAACCCAGGGTGCCAACGCCTCAGGCAGAGGATTAGCTAAGTGAGCCATGATGTTGGCCCGAGAGTCTTCCATCTGGTAGTTCACTCCCCAATTGGCCGCAATGGCTGGAGCTGCACCTATCTGAAGCCAGGAGCTTCTTCTGAGTCTCCCATGTGGATGTGGGGGCCCAAGGACCTGGGCCATCTTCTGCTGCCTTCCTAGGCCATAGAAGAGAGCTGGATCAGAAGTGGAGCTGCCAGGTGTGAACTGGCACCCATATGGGATGCCGGTACTTCAGGCCAGGGTGTTAACCCGCTGCACCACAGTGCCGGCCCCCGGATGAATGTTTTGATGATACTCTTCCAATCCATGAACATGGAAGACTTTTCCATTTTTGTATCTTCTATTTCTTTCATTAATGTTTTATAATTTTCATGGAGATCTTTCACATCCTTGGTTAAATTTATCCCAAGGTATTTAAAAATTTTTTGTAGCTATTGTCAATGGGACTGATCTTACAAGATCTTTCTCAGCCAGGTCATTGTTGCTATTGATTTTTATGTGTCAATTTTGTATTCTGCAACTCTGTGGATTTCATTTGAGTTCCAATAGGAGCATGTCGCATAATCATATGAGTTTTATCCTTTAATTTGTTGAAATAATGTATCCCATTTATTGATTTGTGTGTGTTGAACCATCCATGCATTCCTGGAATAAATCCCACTTGGTCTGGTTGGATGATCTTTTTGATGTGTTATTGGATTTGGTAGTGTTTTGTTAAGGGTTTTTACATCTATGTTCATCAGGAATATTGGTCTATAACTTTCTTTTTTGGTTGCATCTTTCTCTAGTTTTGTAATTAAGGTAATGCCAGCTTCATAGATTGAGTTTAGAAGGGTTCCCTCCATTGAATAATTTAAGAAGCATTGGAAATATTTCTTCCCTAAAAGTTTGGTACAATTTAGCAGTGAAATCATCTGGTCCTGGTCTTTGCTGGGAGGCTCTTTATTACAGATTCAATTTCAGTCTTGGTTATTGATCTATTCAGGTTTTATTATGCATTCATGCCTCAATTTTGCTGAATTGTGTATTTGAGAAGTGTGTCCATTTCTTCTAGGTTTTCCAATTTGTTGACATATGCTATTTGTAACAATTCCTAGTTCTTCGTATTTCCGTGGTATCAGTTGTAACATCTCCTTTTTTATTTCTGATTTTGGTAATTTGGGTCTTCTCCCTTTTTGATTAGTTAGGCCAATTTGGTTTATCAATTTTGCTTTTTTTAAGTCTTCATTTCTCTGAACCTTTATACCATTTTTAAAATTTCTACTGTGTTTCTTCTCTAATTTTTATTATTTCATTCTTCCTAGTAATTTCAGGTTTGGTTCTTCTTTTTCTAGGTCCCTTGAGGTTTGTTGTTTGATCATTTGATAGGTTTCCTATTTTTTTTTTAGGCACTTATTGCTATAGCCTTCCCTCTTGTCATCACTTTTCTGTATCCTTAAGTTTTGATATATTGTTTTCCTTTCCACTCATTTTTAAGAATTTTTTTACTTTTCAGTTTCATCTGTGACCCACTGTTCGTTCAGGAGCATATTGCTCCATCTCCATATATTTGTATATTTTCTTATTTTTGTTGTTAAATTCTAACTTCATTTTATTGTGGTCAGAAAAGATACATGATGAGATTTAAAATTTTTTGGATTTGAGACTTGTTTTAAAGGAATAGTGTATGGTCGATCCTAGAGAACATTCCATGTACCAATGAAAAGAATGTATATTCTGCAGCTGTGGGATGAAATGTTCTATAGATATATATTAGGTCCATTTGATCTATAATGTAGGTTAGTTTTATTATTTATTGATGTTTTGTCTGGTTTATCTGT